TATTATATATATATATATAATATATTTATATAATATATTATATATATACATATATTCTTATTATTATTTTATGATATATTAATTCTCACTATGTACAAAACGTGTACGCAGGTGTGTACTACTCCTATTGTTCGCAATACACACAAAAACAGATGAAATGTAGGTGCACTTCCGTGAAAAAGAATATATATAAGTGTTTTCTTTTGAATAAAGTAATTTTTTTCTATATGTAATAAAACATTAGCAATATTAAACGTTAAGTCTGCTTTTGCATATAACGATATGAAAGGAAGAAGAGCGACATCTTAATTTTCATTAAGGATGCAAATCAATTCAGACAAGTGCCTGCGTATAGAATAAAATGCTAGAAAAAATTTGGAAGGCAATATATAAACATTATTATAAAACGTTCTATATATATATATATATATATATATATCTCACGTTACAAGCTAATGATGATTGTATTATAAGTAGAGATGCATACGACCTAATTCAGCGCACGCTTTTATATGTTTTTTTGTTGTTTCAGATATTTCTAACTAATCTCAATTGAAAATTTGCCTATGAAACTTTCAATAGTTTTTTTTTAAAAATCATCAAATAATATAAGATACACCGTTTATCGCACAAGTATGTGTGTATATTAATTGTAATCATTTAATAATTTTCTTAAAATTCGACGAACACTTTTTTCTGACCAATCATTGTGGTTTTTGTGAATAATGTTAATGTCTTTAAATACCCTATTTTTGTTGTTGTTGTCAATATGTTCTTGTTTAGAACAATAAGTACGCTGTGCTGCGTGTATAATTAATGATACCATTTAATTGTACTTGAGTGCAATTTTGATCACCTTTAATTTAATTAATTATCAAATCGCGTATTCCGCAACACTTTGAATATCTATAAAGTGCTCTTTTTCAAGTACTTTAGGATGTAATGCTGATCACGTCCGTAATATCGCCTTATACAAACATTTCACTATGTATAAAAATTAAACTTGCATGATATTTCAACAAAAAACATTATCATGAATCTCAGACATTTACAGATAAAAATACAAAAAAAAAACAAAATATCATTAAAATTAATATTTCTTAAACTTTGCGTATAAAAGACTTTCTAAAAATGTTTTATATATAGTAGGACGGGTTTAAAATAATATAATTACCTCATAAACTGTTTATGAACTTTATATCTCAAACTGATGATACGTTCTAGGCATTGCTATATAATCTTCAAGTTCTAATGCAATAAGAAGTAAAATTGGATTCTAATATGAATTATCATTATTATTATTATTATTATTATTATTAATATTATTATTATTATATTTGATATATCAAGGCATGTAAAACCACACCAACTTTGTTATAATTATCATTGGCATAATATTGTCCCTATGATACGAAGACAATTCTTTCCACTTTTATTTGTCAAACTCGAGCAATGAAAAATAAAAATAACTGACAATGGTTATAGATGAAGAACTAGTGATAAATAAAGTAATGACACGACGATCAGCAAAGCTTAGCAGAGTGCAAACAATGTGTTTGGAGGCTAGGGCACCTTATTTATGTTGGATATCCATTATCCTCTTATCCTTACTGTCTTTTTCTGTTATATATTTAGATTCTTTAATTTTTCTTCTTACTGCAATCGTAATCTGTCTTTCAACACGCTTCTTGGTAAGCTCCCCTTGCCTTTCTCTTTTTCTATTATGTCAAGACAAACCATGTATGCTCAAAGTCACATAATCTTGCAACAAAAGAAATCATATTACACTCATTCAGGCGATGGTCATTTAGCTCCGTACGAATCATCATTGATTTTGCGTAATCAACCTGCTTAATTAGGCATTATTATTTCATCCAAATGACAAAAATAATTGATTTCTTCATTTCCATTACATCTCATATGAGTAATATAATGCTATTTTGCACTTATTTATTATTACTCTTGCTTACGAGATAATTATGAACATAGCAATCAAGTTTAAAGAAAGCACTTACATAAATTGGCTTTGCAGAGTCATGTCTTAGTCAAAACGTAAGCAGTATCTATTTAACATTTGAAGAGGATATACATATGAGATTACCCATGAACCCATTTTTATTTTTGTTTGTTATTTTTTTTGTTTTCATTTTTGTTGTTTTATTACACTGAATGCACATTTTCTGATATTAATTGCGGAGGCGACAGATTTGAAGAGTGTGACTGACTAGCATGTGATAAATATAGGCGCGAAAGTACATCTATTAAACTCATAGAATGAGCTGTTTTACAAAACCAGCCACCAATACACATTGTCTGCAGCATTTGTTACCGGTTGTGTATGACATTTTATCGTTGCCTGATTTACTCCTTTCGATTAAATTAAGCATCAAGTCCACATAGTCTAATCCATAAATGCGAATAAAAATATTCAGTATCCTAAGCGCACTTTTATTCATCCAAATAATCCTAATATATATACCCACTCACAGTTCGATAAAAACGCTTCTTATTAATGTCACTGTACTAACTTCTGAGAAATGATACGGCATGAACGGATCAATATGAAAAATCAAACTCAATGATATATCAAAAAACACAGTAATACAATTATTGCTCTGCTTATGAATTAATGTAAATAAAGATTAAGTTTGCAAGAGTTAACATACTGCATGAGGTTGCTTAGATTATGATGAGCAATGTAATTTTCAGGACAAGCTATAACTTTCCAAGGTACTAATACTTGGCACTACAGTCTTTCTATATGTAATATATATATATATATATATATATATATATTATATATATGTATAAAAGTGTAACTTCACATATCCAGAAAAATATTATTTTTCCAGTTTGTTTTTCTTATATTACAAAATAAGACTGCAGTGAAAAATTCAGTAACCTTGAATGAGGAATTATATTTGACTTTCGAGCAACAGAAAGTATTGTCAACACTGATAGAGCAAGAGAAAATATAATTAATTTATTTTACCTTTTTTTCACTTCTTTTTTTTTCAATGAATAATGTAACTCGTCAAAGAACCTGGTATGGCATATTATGGTATCCTCTAAACACAGTCTGCACTCCACTAGTTCACCTTTTTCTCACCATTGCATTTTGTCTCATAAATTAAATAAAATTTTTTCGGCTGTGTCAAGTTTCAAATATTTATGTCCAGTGACATTTTTACTGATTTCTATATCAAATTTATATTTATACATATATGCATATATATATATATATATATTATATAATAAAATTTTATATATAAATTATACATATATACGTACACATATACATGTATAAATGTAATTTCTGTATGCTTTTATTATGAAAAATCAAATGAAACTTGTCACTTCATTTGTACTTGCATTAATATAACGCACCACTTATACTACACGAATAACGCCGTCCTAATAAATACAATAGTTAATAAGCAAGATTTAGCAGTTTAAGAAGATATTTGCGATGATTTGTGCAATCATAAAATAATGAAATCCCTAATTTCGTATATAAGTTTATATGTAATTAATCATTCTTTTTTTCGCAAAAATTTTAATATCAACAAAAAATCTGTACTTTGGATTTATTTGAATTATCAAGAGAAATGTAACTAAAAAATTTTTATTTTTTGGATGCTTTTTTATTAACAGCATCATATCATGTGATATTTTACTTTAGTATTAATGATAAAGCTGCTATAACAAAACAAAAAAATAAAATAAAGTAAAACAACATAAATGAAATAAACTGTTACCGAGTAAAATTAAATTTTGTATTATTTATTAAATATATACTTAATCACGTATGCATATACATATATCTAAATTTAAAAATATCACATGATACAACGAAGTTCTTTAAAATAAAAATATCTAGTTCTGAATATTATTTAACATATAATTGATTCTATACTGATACTTTTTAAAAATCCAACAGACAGAAAATAAGGAAAAACAAAAACAAAACAAAAAAGACATTAAACCAATAAATTTAAAGAATATGGAACCAGAAAAGATTCTAGAATTATTTTAATTGTTTAGTTTATTATCAAGATATATATATATATATGAAATATATGACACGCTTTGTGAATAAAGTTATAATATAATTTCAAAAAACAAAACTGATTTTTTTCACGTGTATGAATTATTTGTATTCATAAGAATTGAAGGATACCATCTATAAAATATAATCGATGCGTTATGAAAAATAATTTTGATAGAAATACCCCAAAGTACATCAAGGATTAAAAAAGAACCTATCGTTTTCTAATTGATATATAATAATACTCGCAAATAACCTCGTAATTTGAAATCTCACAGAAGAATTATTTCACGTTCTTGCATTGATACTACTTTACAATAAGTAGTCCTTTGTTCCCAAGTACGGGTTTAATAGTAGTTACATGAAGTTTATATCTAACCTGCTTCGCTGTCGCTCGAATCACTGGTGCTCGACGACAGTGAACTACTGCTGGAATCACTATCACTGCTACTGCTACTTGAAGCGGATAATCGTGAAGGTCCACTGGCACCTCCAGTTCCAACTACGTCGACTGACTTACTACTGTCTTCTATAAAAACAAAACCGCATTTTTATGGTTACCCTTATAATTCAGGAGAAGGGAAGAAAAAACAAAATAATAATATAAATACAAATATAAGAGTAAAATTTAAAAAATAAAAATGAACCTTTCTTAGCAGTTTTCTTCACGTTCCCCAATTGACCAGTTACGTCCTGCAACCTTTTTTCTAATTCTTGCTTTTTCTCTGCTATTTGCTCATCCTTTGATTTTCCACTAACTTTTTTATCTATAAACAATTGTTATATTATATGACACAGTGTAGACTGATTTGGAAAAAGTATCAAATAAGTTTTACAAACAATATCGGAATAAAATTTTAATTAAACTTACGTGGTTTTTTCCTGAGACATGATGCAACGTAGCTTTCCAACTCTCTCAGGGTGGAAGGCTTTAGAGTTTCAAAATCGATTTCAATCTCGTCTGGATTGGAATCCCTCAATGAAGGCTCCCGAGATTGTATTATGTGAACAACTCTACCTAGTTTATCTCCTAAAATATGAAAATAAATAGAAATTATAAATTAATATAGAGACATATGTTATAATAAAAAGAAATACTATAGGAAGGTAAGTTTATTGCATTATAACGTACCAGGTAATTTATTAATATCCAAGCTAAGTTGCCTCTTTTCATCGTAGGACATTGGTTTAGCATTGTCTTCATCCTCTGAATCAAATGTTATTGGAGGTGGTTGATTGATTGATTTCTTTTTATTCCCACTTGACCTACTATTCGCTTTCGGCCTTTTGGATGCAGTATTAGCTGCAGTAGCCTTCCCAGGACCTCTTCCTTTACCTTTTGATTTAGCATTCGTTGCAGTTGGCAAATGATGACCTAAACTTCCTGTCGTATGTGTTTTATTTGGTCCTACTGCTATCGCTGGATGGTGAAGATCACTACTCATACCACCAGGCATTTTTAGATCACTTGCGCCCATTGCAACACTAGCTATACTAGTACCAACACTGTCAGAAACACTGGGAATTCCGCCGCTTGGTTTCATAAGTTCTTTCATGGCACCAGTATGACTACCAACAAGGCTACTACTTTTATTACTCATTGGCTTTGATTTTGGTTTTTCCGGCTTCTTCTTTCTGCTCTTCTTTTTACCACTTTCTTCGACTAATTTTCTCATTTGTTCTTGCATAGCTTTAAGCTGTAAAAGAGAATATTAACAATATAATTATTACTCCTTCTAACTGTATTTATTACATAAGAATAAACAAAATTAAGAACCTCTTGTTGAAGAGCAACTAATTTCTGTGTACGTTCCTCTTCAGAATCGTCACTATCGGAAGAACTTTCGGATCCGGAACTGCTTCCACTACTACTGCTACCCTTCATTACTGACATACTTCCCAAAGGCTCGTCAGGTACTTTTGCGTACCTTATTAATCAAATTCAGTCGAATTAACCGGAGTTCAATTCCTTCATTAATTAAATGAAGAGATTATTTTGAATAATTATTGACTTACCTCATTTCAAAGACGTCCTGAAGTTTTCTAGCCATTGCAACGACATCATGATCTGGAGGATTATATTTGTAACAATTGGTGAATATAAGTCTCACATCACTAGCAAATTCTGGGGCTGTTTTGTATTCGCGAGTATCCATTTTAATCTGTAGGAAACAAACACGATTGAGTACAAGAAACAAACCATTGTATTCTATCGAAAAACAGAAAAAACAAATAAATAAATAAAAAAGAAAATAAATTTAAGCTTTCCTAACATCATACATACATACGTACATACATATATATTAATGAAAGTATAATAATTTCATAAAAAGACAATCTTACCTTTACAGTACCAAGATCCATTGGTTTCTTAATAATGTCATGATAGTCATGCAGACCTAATAGCTCTGCATCAACTGGCTTATAGAAAGGCCATGCATAACCCTGTTAAGAAATTAAAAGTATGACAGACACTGCAATATACTGTTAAAATAAATTTTAATTTAAAAGAATAATAAATAATATTTATAGTATATACGAAATCATTTTTCTGGTAATAAATTATTTTAATATAATATCAATTTAACCCTTTGATTGCAACGGGCACATATACATCCACTCATATTCATCAATATTATACAAAAGTATTCAAATGGACATTGACATACGTGCAAATATAAAACCACGCATAATTAGATGGTTCCGAGTTTGAATGTACAACACAATCAAAGGGTTAATTTAATGCTAATTATTACAACTATTGCTACTTATAATTACCGAATGTTTTTTAGAAAAAAGCTCTTTTAAAATCTCATTGCAACATTTAAGTGATTCCGAAAGTTTTTCTTTAGATTTTCCATTATTATGCGGAGGCTGAAAAAAATATAAAAAGTTTAAATTAGTATATAATATTATATATGTAATATTGAGCTAGCTTTTTTTTTATTAAAAATACAGTTCTTAATTGCAGCATATAAAAAAAAATATAATAGTAATAAAAACTGAATAAGAATAAGAAGATTAGAGAAATATATGTGAAAAATAAAAAAGAAATAAAGTAATAATTTATATTTTGATTAAACACATTGCCAAACACTACAAATGACTTTAATTTTAAGCTCTACTGAAAGGATTATTCTTAATATTTAATGACTCAAAAATTTAAAAATAAATATGATAAGACGACACAAATGAAAGGAAGGAATGTGATGAAGTAACAGTATTTATACCTGTTGGCCCATAGCCCCAATCAAGGGCATGTTGGCTTGGTGAAATGACACTAAGCCGTCTTCCCCTTGCCTCGTTGGCTGAAACAGCCCCGACATGAACCCTTTTGTTAATGTCTATATGGAATGAAATGATCATGCATGCAGGGAATGACTGTGTATGATTATGATTGTAGACATTAAAAAAAAATGAGATGTGAAATACAATAATAAACATTTAATATAAAGGTTTGAGATTATATTTTTAAAGATTTCTAGAAAAACTACGTTTTCATTTAACTCATAATTTTCATGCAGAAATGTTTCTTGCAATAGATTTGACTGGAATCAATTTACAAAGTACAAAACTCTAGACATGTCTGTGTACTTTCTTTTATGAATAATAAACATAACACACAGCAGCATTTTTGATTAAAAAATATAAGCTAACATGATAAAAGAACATAGCAAATTTGAGCTCTTTAAATTATTGAGTTTGATCATATCATACCCAGATACATTCGTTTTTGATAATAATGCCGATTAAAGATAATGACATATATCTATATGAAATATACATACCTTTTTAATCTGTCTACCAGATTCCCGTCTTGCTGGAATTTTTGCATTCTTAGAATCCAATGGAGCATAAATTGGTTCGAACGAATTAGCTGTAGGGGTTGTAGTGTCAGCTTTTCTTTTCACTCCCTTTTTCAACTTGGCTGGCTGGGATGGAGGCATTACAGTTGGAGCTGTGGGAACCTGAGGTGGAGGTGGTACAGCTGATGCCGTTTGTGGGTCCATAGCTGGTTGCGCATGGTAACCACCCGTTGGAGGGACAACTTGTTGAGGCAAAGAGTTGTGAGTGGCCATTGGAGTGACTCCTAAGCTCGACGGTGGAGGAATAGTAGTTGTATTCGTACTGCCCGGTACAGAAGCAGGTGCTTGTGTTCCGAGAGGAGGCATAGGTATGACACCAGTTGTACCCGCCGAGGTGGCTGAAGGTGCCAAACTATTTGGTACACTGGATGTAACAGCTGCTGCTACCGAGGAAGGACGACCTCTTCCTGTACTTCCAGTTGTTGTCATTCCAGCAACTAGTCCTCCTACTTTGCCAGCTTTTTTGCCTTTGGGCCCTTTTGGAACCGGAGGATCGAGTTCCACTTCTTCTTTCGGCATTTGTGCAACCTATTATATAAATGTACAAATTGTGATTTTTTTTTGTCTCCTGCTAATATAGTCTTCTATAAACATTACATTTTACTATTACAATTTATTACCTTCGAAAGAAACAATTTTTCGAGTGCTTGTGCCATGACTACAACATCCTCTCCTGGCTTGTTGTAGACATAGCAGTTGGTAAACATTGTATTGAAATCCTGAATACATTCTCTTCCACACCAATAATATGTATTTTCTAATCGTTTCTTTATTGTTCCCAAATCCATTGGTTGTTTGATAATTTTGTGATAATCCTGTTAAAAATAAGATGATAAATAAATGATAAAATATAGAATAATAACATGTAATCGACAATATCTTACATGCACTATATAAATATTGGTTTTAACGTACTGGCAGATTTAGCTTCTTCGCATCTACAGGTTGTTGAAAAGGCCAGGCAAATTGGTGCTTCCATACTGGTTTTAGTACACCCTTTTGCAAAAATTGTAATTGATTTGTAACTCGTCCTGGACGATTAGGAGGTGGAACAACCGGTGGTTGCACAACACCGTTTACAGGTTCCACTGTTGGCTCTTCGCGAGGAGGTGGTTCTTTCCCCGGCGTAGCTGGTGTGGCCGATGCCTTACCAGGGGCACTCGTCTATATTTTTTATTTGAAATTTGTTAAAGATGATTCAAGTTATGTAACATGTATTTGTTAGAGCTACATCTACATTTTCAAAAACTGATAGAATTAACTACTGTAGCAATAGAAAATTTGCATTCTGCAAAGCAGTATAAAGATTTTATTTCATTTAAATATATAAATAAAATTTACTAAAGTATAACAATAAAATATTTTTTTAATTACTGAAAGATTTGTCTTGTGTTAGTATTAACAGTTCTTTAAACAAAACTTGAACAGAAAACATTTGAGATATGCGATAAAGCAAACTGTAGAAAAAACTAATTTTAACCATTTTTCTACCAAATTCCCTATTTTGTCAAATTCAAAATAGAAATAACATATTGCATAAACTTATTTAAATGAAAAATAATATATTAAGTAGATTTTTCTAATAGAATTTAAATAAAAAATATCATGAAAAGATTAATAAGTGTTAGTAAATACAAAACGGCATGCAAAAGATAATCCTTCATGCAGCGAGCGAATTAGGCTGCTAAATATTTAAGTTCCATAGCTGCGTACAAGCAATTTTTAATAAAGGTCCATGTCCCAATATAAATATTTGTACTTTCTATGCTTTGAAAATCTCTAAAGATAATATGGACATCGACAAAATCTTTCTAGCATGTAGATCATGCAAGTTACATGGGAACAGTTTTAAATCAAAGTTTATATGTAGGATATGAACAATTACATATCGAGATTAATATTGATTAACACCAATTTCCAAATTTTAATAACATAAATTGATTAAAAATGATGGTTTTTGTTAGATTTATTGATATGAAGATAAAGAAATATTTAATTTTAGAGCAAAGATAGGAAACAGATTTAGAATATTTCTTCTAGTTTTAGAATCTACGTTTGTTAATTTGCTTTTTTTTGCTATTTAGAAGCTTACGACTGCATACGATTAGATTAACATATTGAAGCAAAATTATAAATTGTTTCTTTTAGTAAAGTGCAAATTGTTGATTAAGATGTCTATTATATATCTTATTTCATAAAATATGGAATCAACATGGAACCTCACCTTCGGTATATTACACAGCCTTTCTCGCTCCTCCACATCTAACTGTAATTCATATGTACTTTTCAGTCAAATGGTAATTAAACTTAACACATTATGAATTTGTAAATTATATATGAAAATAGCAATATTCATGACGCATAGTTTAGACAAATTTGTTATTTATATAAACAAATGTTAATACCCTTAACATTTTTTAAGGTGTTATATAATTTCATGAAAAAGCAATGCTTTCTGCTATTTACAAAGCCTATAATTTAACATATATGTGTGTGCAGTTATAGTTATTTATTACCAAGACTATTACTTTATATTTAGTAGGATATTTTACATTGGAGGAAACGTTATTAATCGTATATTTATTGATAATCTTAAAATAAACAAGTTTAACTACGAAGAATAATAAGTAGGATATGTGTATAGACGATGAACAAATTTCTATATAATTTCCAAATCTAGTGTTAGTAGATTAATAAGCAAGCTGTGCTACACGCTACATTAAATACATTTATAACAAGTTACTCACCGAATTATTTTGTGAAATAGTATCCACCTGCTGCATCTTGACTTCGTTTCTGAAAAAAGAAAAGCAAAATTTATTTAAGTATTCATTTTTCTATATGTAAATTATGGTTAACTATAAAAGACTATTTTTTAATATGTATGCGACTTGTAATATTTATGCGCTTTGGTTACTGCGCTATAGTTAAAAAATACTTGAATGTAACCAAATTGACATAATAATAGTAAAGCTGAATAAATCAAATTTATACAAGATTTTAATGACAAATGTAGTCTGTAGATATGTCATTTGCGATGCTACTGAAATAAAAAATTGAAATTCCTAACGAAACAAAATGATATAATGCCACATTAATATATATATTTGTAATTTCCTTGTATCATAGAATGCATCAAATCCACGTTAATGAGCTATACCAACCTTTCGGACATATATGGTACATAAATGCTATGCAGCAGGTAACTGCCTTACGCTGATGCTCGATGCTATGAGGCTTCATCAACAATTGAGATGGCAAATAAATATTTTGAATTGAACACGGTTGCTCATTAATTGCTTGTTGGGAGAATCGCACTGCAACCACGGAGATTGATGCTGAGGAGGCATAACACTACTAAAGCCTACCGAATGGTAGTACTTTGAATGTCAGCCCTGTATACCGCTGTGATACTCCGTACCTCCAGTCAATACTCGCGATACTAGCAACATCTGAATAACATAATAATAATACCCGATAGTGTATAAAACCCTAAAAATTCATTTATTTTGTTCAAACCAAGTTAAACATTTACACGTATAAACAAACACTACACTATTGTGCATACTAAGTTCTTCTAATGCATGCAAGATTACAAAAACTTTATTTCTTTTTTTTAACTTTCTGTTATTATTGCAATAATATAATCTTTATTTTGATCGATATTTGAAGTAAGTAAAGCACGTTCAAATATCCCTTATTAATTTCTTCCTGGTTCCTTTTACAAAAAATATCAATTTAGATTTTATAAGAGATACTAATATTGCTTTATATGTATTAAACGAATAAAATTAGATGATTCTGTAGCATGACTTGAAAGAACAAAAATCAGATTCAAAATGAATTCGTTTTAATGAATAGTAAATCATAATAATTTATAATAAAGTGATACAACAAAACAAAACTTTATTTTGTGATCTAAGCCTTATCGAATATTTAAAGGTTAAGATACAAAATTCTATGGTAATAGCATCAGTAAAAGACATAAGATGATTCTCATTGTCGACAGAGAACTAACCTTATTATTCTAAAAGAATGCAACTATGGAAAGAAACTAAAAAAAGTGAAAAAGACAATAAAAAAAAATCATACCAAGATTTATAACAGCAAGGAGCAAGCAAACCAGTGCAATAAGAACAGCTGAGTCGATTCAAACGAAAAAAAGAAATAATTCGTCAACGATCCACAAAGCGAGGGCGCGTCGCGTTATTACAAATAAAAATTCGGTTAAATCGGGGTTTATGGAAGAGAGAGGAGAAATGAAAACAGGTGTTCACGAGTCATGAAAATGCCGTTAAAAGTAGGAAAGCTGAATAAGAAAGGTAAGAAATGATGTGAAGAAGATGGAAAAGTAGGTAGAAGTAGAAGAAAAAGAGGAGTGGAAGACGATGATGGGGGAGGAGGAGGAAGAGAAGAAAGAGAAAGAAGAAGAAGAGAAAAAAGGTCGAAGAATGAAAAGACACGAAAGAAGACGAAGGAGACTCGAGCGAAATAAGCACGGAAGATGGAAAGTAGGAAGCACGAAGAAAAAAGCGAGAAAGTGAGAGAGAAACGAATGGTGGAGGGGGAATGACGACAAAGAGTGAGGAGGGGCAAAGCAATGTGTAGGAGAAACCCGCGCCCACAATGCACTGTCGAATACACAACAAACGCCAGCGGGACGCCGTAGAAGAATTTAAAGCAAGCCACTCTGGGTAAAATAAAGCATGATTTCTAAGCGCGTGGATATTTGTAATCGTCTTTGTTAACACTCGCTTTAGCGTAGGTTTCATTCAACATGGCGGTGCGGCCAATCGGGAAAGAAAGCTCCCAAGGGCCCGCTACCGTTACCGAGCGCAACTTACGCATCGCGTTACGGCGCATCGTGGCATGCATTACATTTTCTATTAAGTTATAAACAATATTCTTAGTCAATTCATATTACCTGATCGTTAATGGGCCCACTTTCCTTTGGATAGCGAATCACGGAAAAACACTAGTACTATTTGAGTTCGGAAGCACGCTTTCTCCCTGCGTTCACTACTAGTTTGCTCGCCTTGGTGCTGTTATGGCTGCCGCCGCGGCCCACCACCACCGCCACCGCCGTCCTCGTCCTCCTCGTATTAATCCGTCTTTATCTTAGCGATTGCCACTACCACTACTATTTTCCTCGTAACCGATTCAGCGAGTACACCACACCAATTAAACACTCACCCACTCTCACAAACGTGAACTCGCGGCACAATCTCGAACGCGTGCATCGGATAACGCAGTCTGCAGTCCCACTGCACTTCTCTATTCCCGACTTTATACTTACTACACTTTAGTACTTGAAATATCGCTATTGCCGTTATTGTCGCTGCTATCGCTAGCCCGCCGCCGCCACCGCTGCCACACTATACACTACTACCACCGCCGCCACCGACGTCTTCTTCGCTCTGATACTACTACTTCCTACGACGACCGCGATGAGTTTATGTATACAACAGTTCCAAGATTCACAATTTAATATGGACGATCGTCTCTCACGTAAATATCCCTTCAATGGATCGTGCAGAGTTACATTTACATTTTCCTATCAACTTGCACTGCCTAAAGCCTTTTCTCCATCACGATCTTGTATCTAAAAACTTAACGACCGTAGCACCAACAATGGCTACGCATTCTTACGCGACGTACCGGATGGTCCTGTTCCGTAGTTCCTTCCGTAATACCTGTCTCTCTCCCCTTCCCGCGCTTCCTTCTATAGAAAATTCCTACGAACGTTCACGAAGTTACACGAAGTTACACGAGGTTACACGAAGTTTAACGCGCCAATTCTGACTCATCTCAATGTATACAAAACAATTATCCTTTTTTGTTAATATGAAAAAAATTATATTCTTGTAATAAGAAAATAATATTTATTTAGATTTTTTTTTTTAGAAAAAATATAAAATAGTAAATTTGTTTTCGAGCATTCGTTGAACGTTCGCTAAGATTCTGTTTCTTTCCGACCCACGTGGTGAAAGTTTCTTCCTTCCCCCTTACTTCGTAAACAAATAATGAATACTTCGAATGGAATTCGAACGTGTTTATGAAAACATTTACTTGTTTACTCGTTACGGTACCTTATCATATGAGCTAGCTATCGTAAACTATCGAATAGCAGCTGTCGTACAATGTTAGAAGATAAGAAACAGAAAGGGCTCGGGTAGAATGAGAGAGAAAGAGAAAGAGAGAAAGATTGGGAAGAAACAAGCATAAGTCTTCCTTAGTACCTGTTTATAATATTAAAATATGACGGGCGGTGGTGTACGGCGTGTAACACGTATATAATAATCATACATATTCGCTCTATAACATAAGAATGCGCTTTATTAACCAATCCAAAAATCAACGGTTAATTTCCGTCGTTCCATATTCACCCATAATGCCTTTTCGTACATTCCAAAAAGAAAGGAATCCGCGTTTGGATCATTGGAAAAAGATCTAATGTCTTTCAATAAAATATGTAAATAAATAGACTGCTTCTGATAATTAGTTGTATCGTATGAAAAATATTAGCCCGCCTTATTAATAGGCGCGCAAATGTCGGTCCGATTCCGCGATTCTTTGATTAAACACAATGCATTTATGTAGCCGAGGACAAAATCTATAACGGCTTTAGCCAAAAGCATAAGACGAACGGTATCAATGAACACGTTACAACGTAAACGCCACTAAGATTTAATATATGGATAGCATAGGATGCACGTGGTTAACTTTACGCGGGTTCGAGGTAGTATTATTCCATTATGACGTGCTGCGTCCTATAGTCATTCCGATAGTTCCGTTACCTATATGTTAAGATGGCGGTTGTACTAATTAATGATGGATCGACCTTTGCTTCCTCGATCACCCTGCCACACGAAACGCAAAACTTTTTATCGATGTTATCGTTTAGAGACAAATTTTTATTCGAAAACGATATTAACATCACTAGGGTGACGACCCGCACCAAAATCTACTACGTATTCGCTACACGTCGATCAGATATCGTGAACGCATGACACGGTACTACGGAAGTCAACTACGCGATCCAAACGTTTCCTTTACAATTTCTAAGTAATATGTCTTTTATCTAAATAATCACAATTTAATATGACAATTAATCTTTTCTTTTCGATTTACATTCGTAATTAATTCAACCAGCCAACTTTTACACGAACGACTTATAACACTACTACTAAAGATGGCGTGCGTCTCCATAAAGGACAGAAAATCACTTTTCAACTAGACACATCCATGTCTTTCACCGATTAAATTATCATAAAAATCACGGATATGTTTAAATATAATCTTGAATATAAGAATATATTTGGAAAATCATTTAATAAACCGTTCCGTTATAAATATGTCATTCGCATACTTGACGACGACCATTTTTCGTTTGAATGACGTCAGAAGTAATACGAGAGTCAAAAGTCGTCTATTGTTAACGTAGTATTATTGATGCATTGCCTCATGTATTTCCGGTCGAATATTTCATGTCTTGTTCCGGTTAGCGATTGGTTTTCGTCAGAAGCGTCCTCTATCGTGGACCAATCAGACGAATAGTAAGATATTGATGAGTCATCGTTCCTCTACTTTCTCTTTCACTCTTCACTAATTTCTAATCTTATGAAAAACATTATTGCATTCGTTATTTATTAAGTTCATTGAACTTTGTAATAAAAATTATATTATACATATTTAGATTTATTTTTTCAAAATTTTCTTAAAAAAGATTCAAACTTTTCTTCCCAGGAAAGGATGTATAAAATATTACATTTAAACAATGTACACATGCCTTAACATTATGTGAAAATAATTCTCTATTATTTATATTTATTTATATTTTATTATATAATTAAATTATTTCTTAAACTATATTCCAAACTTCTTCAAAAGCGGTGCACAATTTACTGCATGTTACAGCACCCGAAAGAGGATAGTTGCTGATAGATATAGTATCTTCCGTATAATCTGTTGTTACCTAGTAAGTACGCAAAGATCATGTTAGTTATAATAATAAATAAATATAAGGATTCATAATTAATGTCTTTAAGAGCAATATAATATTTACTTGTCCATGCGCCATTGCTCCTACAACTATAGCGATTGGTTCTTCGGTTGGCACTAATTCTCTAGGATTTTTTATTTTGTTCGAATTAAATGACATAAGAAGTTTTTTACAACCAACTGGGAGATGATTTGTACATGGATTTTTAATAACTTTTAATAACTTCATTGGTCCATCCGATGCTCTGACACTGTATTTGTGTAATAATTGTACTGTAACAAAGACGATACATATACTTTTTAATACCTAATCCTATATAAATAAAAAAACATTCAATTTTGTATGAAAGATAGGTTTATACCCATAAGACCAGCAAATCGTTTGAACGTTCTTGGTATCCTTGTTTGTGGATTGACTTCGATCAATACATTTTTTTCAGTATGTATATAAACTTGTAGAAGGCCTGCTCTATTTAAAGGACTATCCATCAACATTAGTAAACACTGATGTGTTATATCCGGTCTACACGAACCAGGTTCTCGATTATTCTTTTTCAATATGCTTAAATGGTCATCGCAATTCAGTAATTCAAAACTATTACCGACCTGTATTCAAATGAAAACATGTAGTTAAAAATATAGTAGAAAATATGTGTAATTATTAAAATTATAGTAGAAAGTGTGTGTTAATATTAATAAATCTTAACGAAGAATATTAAGAAATTAATAAAATGAATATTGAAGTAATCTTACCTTAACCGATTCTAATTGTGCATTTTCTAGAATAACAATAAGACGCTTTTCTTGATTTTTAATATGTGCTACATGAAGATGTTTAGGAGCAGGGTCATATTCAAAATCATCCTTTTCCTCACGATTTTTTCTTTTCTGACCCATTATTTGAAGAATTTAAAATTACAAAGTACAAATATTTATGTGGTGTACATCTCCATGCTGCTAAAAAGTGAGGCTAACCATAGTAAACTTTACACACTTACTACCTACTACTATCGATCTTGTACACTATCGAATTTTTTTCGATATTTCGATTTTTGCTTCGATAGTTCGATTTTTGCTTCGATTCGATATTTCCAATACCATCGTATTATCGGCATAGTGCACATAATATACACATGAAATACACTATACGATTATAAGAAAATATATAATCGGTGTGTTAATTATATTTTATTAATATAAGAGCCATAAAAATAACGTCGCGAAAAGTTTGACTTTTGCGAATGACAATTAAAATACGGTTTTATAAAATTTAATAAGATAACAGAGAACAAACTTATTTCTCATACAGTGAAATGTCTTTTCTTTAATTTCTCAACCAATCGTAGGAGAGAAAGGGTATCACGCGGTATATTAGAATATTTTTTCAAAATTTTATTTTCAGCAACTTGTTGCACAACTATATTTGTAAGCCATACTTAATCCAGTTATTCTGCATTACATGTATCCACTTTAGTAACGTAGCTTTTTAAGTAGACATTTTGATAATTCCACTAATAAGAAACATTTATATTCATTTAAAAACTATCGTTTCGTGGTAGATTTAAAAAATTACACTTCAATTTTAATCTATTGTTTAGAACTGTTTAGACGAGTATTTAAAGTTAATCGTACGGTACATATGTTATGTTAGTGTGAATATAATCTTAATTTTCCCGCCAGAATAAATACGACTGGTGTCATACGTACAATTATGTAAGTTTTATCAGAATTTCTAATTTGTTAAATTTTTTTTTGCAATTTACATTAATGTATTCTGTTTGTATATCAATTTGTTATTTATTCATTGTTGAACTACTTAAATTCAAGTACAGTTTTTGATATCTCAGTATATACATGTATATATACGTATATTTTCCTTGTAAATAATTGTGTATTATTAATTCCAATTAACAATCATAGTTAGATTTTATATTTACTTTATTCGAATATCACATTATGGTAATGTAAACATGAGAATTAAAAAATAGGAATAAAAAGTGTAATATAGGTTTCTTATATCATGTATGTCTAGAACTTTTTATCTGGAATATAAAATCTTTTTATAGATGTTAGCTAGAACAAGCATATGCAGAATAATAACCAAATTATCAACTTATACTAATACGCTCAGAAGTATTCAAAGCTATTCTGCTGTGATGTCGAAATTCGAATTACCAAGTCGTTTTAAGGGCAATGACAAATCTGTCTGGTAATTAACAAACACTTTATAAATTATTGAAATTATTTCAATTTAATATATATCTAAAACAACTTTTCCTTAGGGTTGAATATATTCAACTTGCTTTAAAGTATAAGCCATTAAACTTGGGTCAAGGTTTTCCAGACTTTCACGCCCCTGAAAGTATTACAAAAGCTTTAGCTTCTACCACAAACAGCTCAAATCCTCTTCTTCAACAATACACGCGAGGTTTTGTAAGTATTTTATAGATATGATACAAGTTGAGTACTTAAATATCAATTGAATTTTAACAGGGACATCCAAGATTAATCAACGCAATTGCAAAGTTATATTCTAAACTCTTAAAGCGTAAGTTGGATCCAAATAATGAAGTTCTTGTTACTGTTGGAGCTTATGAAGCATTATATACCGCATTACAAGGTCATACAAATGCAGGTGACGAGTGGATTATAATCGAACCATTTTATGATTGTTATGTTCCAATGGTTCGTATTGTTGGCGGTATTCCTAGATTCATACCCTTAAAACCGGTAAGTGAAATCGTAATAATAATAAAAGTTAAGGTGCAGTTTTATAAATAGATAAAGAAACTATTATTGCTTTTTGTATTGTGATTATATTAATGAATATTATTTTTTAATTTGTACCATATAGAAAAATACTAATGGTCCACTTAGTTCTGCCGATTGGACATTTGATAAGAAAGAATTGGAAAAGCTTTTTAATGAAAAAACAAAAGGAATTGTAATCAATACACCAAACAATCCTATCGGGAAAGTATATACATTGGATGAATTACAATTTATAGCAGATCTTGCCAAAAAGTGGAATACTCTTGTTGTGTCGGATGAAGTTTACGAGTGGATTGTTTATGGATCCAGTCAACATGTTAGAATAGGTGATAATTTGATTGACATAATAAAATTGCTGTAGTAATAAGATTTTAATAAGCATTTTATCATTTTTTTAGCATCATTACCTGGCATGTATGAGCGCACTATCACCATTGGATCTGCAGGCAAATCATTTAGTGTCACCGGTTGGAAAATAGGCTGGGCATATGGACCGGCAAATCTTTTGCACAACTTACAAATTGTACACCAAAATGTAGTTTATACTTGCTCGACTCCACTTCAAGTAATATATTATATAAATAATTATAAATTCTATTTATATACATGTGGATATAGTTATTAAACATATAAACAATATTTAATGAGTAGGAGGCTGTGGCACTTGGATTTGAAGAAGAAATGGAAAGATTTGATCAATCCAACTGTTACTTCTTCAGTTTACCAAAAGAATTATTACCAAAACGAGATTATATGGCTAAATTTCTTAGGGATGTGGGCATGTTGCCTACTGTCCCAGAAGGTGGTTACTTTATGATAGCCGATTGGACAGCTTTAGAGAAAAAGACTAAATTGGAAGAGGAAACGGATGATAATAGAGATTATAGATTTACTAAGTGGATGACTAAGAATGTTGGTCTTCAAGGTATTCCTGTATCCGCTTTCTATTCATCCGAACACAAACACTTAGCCGAGAACTTTGTACGATATTGCTTTATAAAGGTATTTAATTAATTGTAATTGCATATATAATAATGCATTATTTAAAACATACTGGTGGAATCGAATTTGTTTACAGAAAGACGAAAACTTGGAAAATGCAGCCAAAATTTTGATGGAATGGAAATCAAAATCATAATAACAAATCTCTCGTTTTATACATTTTTTAAAAATACTGTGAAATGAATAATTTTTGTTAAATATTTGATCATATGCGTAATTTGTATTTATATGTTTATATATGCGTAAATTGTACATGCTATTTATTACCCTTGCTTATCGATTAACTATGTTATTAGAAATTTATGTTGAAAAATCGCCGCGGAGCCATCTCTTTGCATCTTTGGTATCAGCACCAAATGTTTTACCAAATCTAAGAGAACATATATTTATTCAAGAAATTATAATGAATGAGAGAAAAAAAGATAAAGATTAAAATTACCTAAATGTCTGCCCGGGAACATGACCAAGATAATTAGGTAACAAACCAACGTGTTTATGATAAATTTCAGTCGATTGAATAAGAAGAGGGGGATCAGGTTTTGAAATTGTTACAGGTGCCCATTCGGTGCTTTGCCGATGTCGATAATTTGAAGTAAAATCACAAAGTGCACTATTGGTAGCAGGTACATTGGTTGCTCCAAAGTGTGCATATCCATATGGAATATGTCCAGCATATCCTTCATTGACAAAAAATTAATATCACTCGTTTTGCCAAAAAATTGTAATTGCAATTTTTTTTACGCACTTCTGACGGTTTGTCTAATGAAAGAATAACGCGTTCGACTCTCGCTACTCGTAAGAGTCATCTTGCAATTACAACACACATACGAATGTAAATATAGTAATAATTATAAATTTGATTTTAAGATAGGATTTGTCTAAACTAATTATTATGAACCATAGAAACGGTAAAAATCGCAGATCGAAACAGCCGAATTACGCTAATTTTTATTCGAATTCAAATTGGATGAAAAATTTCAATTTTGTTCTCATTCTTTTTTTTTTTTTTTATATATATATAACAATACTTGCCGCTAATAAAATATTTTGTAGGGTTGGCATTATCCATAAAGTAAGGGGAAGGAGCATGATCTCGTGGAACTTCGTATTGTTCATCGACCGGCAAGTTTCTCATAACTCCGACGCAATCGGGACGAACGGTGATCATAGGTAATTTAAATTGACTTTCGATTAGCTAAATAATCAATTGTTGCAAATAAAAATTTGGATCTATGTATATATATATATATATGTCAATGAAAGTTTGACGTTACCAAACGATCTTTTAAATTTCGCGGTTCACTTCTTCCGCTTTGTAAAGCAATTACTGTTTCGAGTTGATTAAGTGCCTCTTTATTTTTAATTTGTTGCCTTTCAAATTCGGCTAATCCTTCGGTAGCGAGTACCGTGTATCTTTGTCCGCAATTTGCATTGAAATTTGGTACAAAACCTGTTGCAAGGATTGAAATAATTGATTTTTATCGTTCGACCATCGAAACACGCAAATACCTTCGTAGCCTGGAATAGTCGGATGAACATAAATGGGATCTGTTCTTTTGAATCGCGAATTGACGATGTCTATGTCATTTTTAGGAGGTCTGCTCACCTATATGCGTATTTTTTTTTTTGGAATTTAATGTTTACTCTTACTAATACAAATATAATAATATATAATATTAACAAGGGAAATGACACATTACATTGAATAAAAATACCGAGATAACTTTACTTGATAATCGTCGGTGGCACGATTCGATAAAACAAGTGTTTCCGAATGATTCACGCAAGGATCGAGAAGAAGTTTATGGGTGAGACTTCCATAAGTTTCTCCGCATCGATAACGATATTGAGGAGAAAAACCGGTATATCTAAGAGAAATATAAATCATTCGATTATTTCTTCGCTAATCTTATTTTTGTGGAAAATATTTTTCCTTTCTCTCTGTTTCTTTTTCTTTTTCTTTCGAGGTTAACGACTCTTACCCTGGTATTAAATGTGGTTCTGGTGTATTTAACAATTCTACGCCAACGGTCATATTCGTAGATTTTTCTTTTTTCTTTTGCAAATGTTTCAATCAAATTAATTCTAATTTATTTTAACTGGAATTTAAAATGTTGTGTATTTTTTTTTTTTTTCTACATGTTATCCGACATTTATCGATGCACCCATCAATTTTCTAACGGCGTCGTCATAACTACATTTTGTTATTACGTTTTATATAAAAAAGGGTGCGAAGATTTTTTTGGTCAAGTTTTCACGAAAATCATAGCACGTTTCAAGAGCGTTTTATTGTTAAGTCCACGAACGTGAATCATGCTCTGTCATGTTTTTTTTTCTTTTCTTTTTTTTTTTTTTTTGCACATTGAGAATAGTCAATTTTTAATTGACGACGGTGGAAATAAACTAACTAAATAGTATAATTATCTTCTTAGACATCCTGTTTCACGGTTGCTATTGCCACGACTGAAGAATCAAACCGGTTTGATTTTGTCACGACTGATTGTGAGTCGTGGAGGTGTTGACACCGTAGGCAATCCTTGCGATAGCATGTTCATACGAGTCTTTTAGTCCACGAAAGCATAATTCACATCTTCAATCTTCACGTGATAATATTTTCCATATTTTAATTTATCCCTTGATATCACGCATCGAAAATATAAACTTGACTAAAGATACAATTACAAATTTTCCTTTATCGATTAAAGTTGATTATCAAAATTGTTTGAAGGTGTTCTTTAATATTTTATTACAAAAGAAAAATAAAAAAAAGAAAAGAAAAGAAAACGAATCATGTGATTTTGGATTGGCAAGCAAATATAAGCACCAATTCGAATTTTTTTTAACAATTTTCGATGAACAACGAATTTAATGAATTACTTAAATAATTCATTGCCAAGAGAGGGTGACCACCATACGTATAAATACATAGAATAAAAAGAGGGAGAGAGAAATAAAGGGGGTGGGGAGGGGAAGAGGGTATATTCATTGACAGAGTAGGGAGGATACGTTGCGTGCACAAATGGGAGAAGTTGTGGGAGCAACGTTTCGCTTTCCAGTTTTCGTAGGACTACGGACATGAAAAGAACTTATAAATAGTTGCTTTTATGTATTTTTTAATCATTTTATAGTAAAGATTATCAAATTGTACACAAAAATAATCGACAATTTTTAAAGTAAACGATTATTTTCGCAAACGCATTAGTAGAAAAAAACAAATAAATAACAAGAAATCGTGTAAACTTAAAGGTTCATATTATTAATTGTTACGATCGATGAAATAAAATCATTAATCGTCGATCTATTTCGATCTTATCTGATAGATATTGTTCGAAGAATCGTGTTTACGTTACGAGGATTGACTTTTATTTCTCATTTCATTCAGATCGAAATCGTAAGTCGCTAATAATCGAGTCTTGGATCAATACTGTGTGAACAATAAGTAAATAATGCGTTAAGAGTATAGACAATGAGTCGTAAGTTTAGTGATGCAAAAGGCACGATGGGAATAATTTTATGCGAGAGACATGTGGCCTCGTCGAGAAACGAATTCCATCTTCTACGTGGATTCGGATTACGAATCCATCGGTTTTACCAATGCCAAGGTAAACAGAATTTCATATTTTTTTTATATTATTTAAATAATAATACATTATATATATATATATATTTAATATTTATTTCTTTATGTTTATAATAATTTTATTGCATATATATAAATTGATAGATTCATATAAAAATATATATGGGAGGGAACGCGTTCTATTTTCATTTATTATCACCTCACGCATGATTTTTTTTAATCTTCTTATCTCTTATAATTGTTCCCATCAACTGTGATAACGTATGCAAACATACACACATGCAATGTAATTGTTAATAATAATATATAGAAAAATATTGTAATATTAAGATTTAGAGAAAACGATTTAATCATATGCATTTTCTCGCGAGACATCTAATATACATTTGTTGAAATGAAATTACGTGAAACTCTACGTATCGCTTTCCACACATTGTGAAAGGTATAGAAAAAAAAAACATTACTTCCCCTCCGTTTGTAGATAACGAAAGAACGTTGGAGAAGGTAACTTTTCGAAGTAACACACTCGTGCAACGGTTCGCCGAATTCGTGAAAATCGCATGTGTGTGTGTGTATATGATCGTTTTGATTATCATCTTGGATAAGCAACAACCCCCACCCTTCCCCTCCCCCTAATTACATCATTCGTTTAATACTTACAATTAATGAAACATTACATAGATCGTTAAATTGCGTTCTAACTCGTTAACACTAATAGATAAGAAAATAAAATCTTGATTTATATCAAGCAGGAAGATTGTAACCGACTATCGAGATAACGATCCTTAGGCTTGAAGAATTGACCAGGTACGGCTTGGGGGAAGGGGGATGGAGAGGGGGAGGAGGAAGGGGGATCAGATAGAAACGATTGTTCACGTCTTTGTTTATTCACACAATCACTTCTTTCTTGATTTTGTTGTTCTTGTTGTTCTCTTAGCACGCGTGTCGGAGGAATAATAATAAAATGTTTTCTCATCTTTTTCTACCCTCGCGTTTTTTGACTCTTTGTTTAACGAGAATCATGAGCTTCTACAACTACTACGACCGGAAATGTTATTATCACGTATAGTGCGTTGCCAACCATGGGTGTAGTAGCACGTATTTATTTCTATGGGGAGTGGGGAGGGGGGGTACGAGAATAATCACGTAAGCACAATTTAACCTCTCGCATTTTCTGAATCCTTTTTGTGATAAATCGGTGCTCCACAAGTTTCAACCTTAAGAGTTAAGTTAGGTAGTTAGATGGGTAGGTAAGTAGGTAGGTAGGTAGGCAGGTAGGTAGGCAGGTAGGAAGATAGGTAGGTAGGTAGGTAGATAGATAACTAGTTGGGTTGTTGTGTAGCTATACTAGCTTACAGTCGTGTATTCGTCGCGTGCGATTTCTAGTTTACGGTCTCTGGGTATTTATTTTCTTATTCTCTACATTTCACTAACAGCATTCCAAGCACCCGCACTTTTTCAACGTACATATTTCATCCTGTCACGATCGTCGCATTTTCGCAATAGTTATATTCTGGATAAGAGGAATACTTTATAATATAATACATTCTCATATATACGAAAAGAAATATAATAGCAGTTAGTCTTAAAAAAAAAAACCATCAACTTTTATAATACACATATGCCTTATATGAATAATCCTTTGCACTCGAAAAGATTATTCTTTGTTACAACTCGGTTTAACACGATAATTCCGATAAACTCAGTTAAAAAGGATTTGCGAAATTTGCTCCGAAGGAATAAAATCTGACGAAAGATTGGGACGTCTTTCCACATATTACTTACGATACTTGCATCATGGAAATTGCTTTATATAATAACACACAAAACAACGATATAGAGTTTAATGTTTAACGAATGTCCTTTTTTGAAATCATTTGAAGATACTTGTAAGAAATTCAACAAATATCCGGAAAATCGTCTGGAGTTGCTGATTCGTTCGAACGAAAAAGGCTTCGAGTACAAAGGGTTAATAAACGAAGACAAAAAATTCTATAGAAGAAACCTCTAAGCCCATTATCCTGAATAAAGGGGGGGAGTGGAGTGGGGGGTGGGAGGGTGCTCAAATGATGTACTAACGGTCTTACGAAATCACGCACAACAAGCGTACCTTACCTTACCTTACTCATTTTGCTATCCCTTTGTAAAGAGGCGCACGTGCTCTCGTCACCTCGGTGTGCACATACGAGATACGTGACTTTCATTGTATGGTTATTCACCATAAAGGCGCACACAGGAAAAAAAGCACGATCCAGCTGCGTAACTAGAAAGAAAATAGTCGAGTTTACTTACTCTTTTCTTCTATGTGTGTGTGTGTGTGTTTTTTTTTTTTTATCCTTTTTCTTCTTCTTTTTACGAGGCTAATGTCCCGACGTTGTGATTAAGCTTCTGTCTGTGTTGGATTATACTTCTCTTGCATGGCACGTTATACGGGCGCTTTTACGCCATGGGGGAACAAAAGGAGGAAGCCGTTTACGTATACGCGAAGTCGTTACACACGAAATACGAACGACTTATCTTTTCATTTTTATTTCATTCTCTGACTCACCGTGCCTGGTACCTTGAGCACGTGCCTGATAGATCTTTTACGATTATTTCTCTTTCTAATATTTACATCAAAACCCTTTTCAATTTAATTTTAACTTGCTTACCAACACTTATTCATTTATTTTCTTTTTCCTTTTCTCCTTTTCATGGTTTTTTTTTTAAATGTCGTCTTTATTTCCATTGAATAATAACGATCATTAAACTCTTTTCAATTAAATGTTTAATCGTATACGTACAAATTCGCGTTTAGTATACCTCAATAAAGGAATCAATATTTCTTTTTGTTTTTTTATCCCCTGTGTGTGGATAATTATTATAATTTTAATCTGGATTACATTGGGATTGGAAAATGATTCGAAATTAGTGGGAAATTGTTGCCGTTTTCGGAAACCAATGAGAACGGCTTGACGAGTATTTTTATTCCGTAGAAAAGTAAAGGGTTGGAGTATGAAGGAAAAGAGAAGGGGTAGTGTAAGAGGGAGGAAGGAAGGAAGGAAGGATCGGTGTAGGAAAGAGGAGGGAGAAAAGAAAGACAGAGAAGGCAGGGAGCTTTCACGAGAGGCACGAGCTATCAGTATCGTTCGACGTTTTGCCAGCTGCGTTTCGTCATTACTTTTAAAAGTTCTTCTAAAAAATTATTATTACTGTTAATATTATAAAAAATTTTGTCTATTTTACTTTGGATTAAATTATTATACGAGAACAAATTAATTCGACGTGGGAGTCAGTGATTTTTTGTTATTATCGGTGTGTATATATTTTATTAAAAATAATTTATAAAAAGAAAAACGAAATATATATTTTTCTTGGCAATCATCGTATAATCGTGTTATTGTGATTTGTGTTGCTATATCCTATTAATAGTATCGATCTTTATAATCTGAGAGAAGATCTCATCGATTAAATTA